AGATAGATAGATAGATAGATAGATAGATAGATAGATAGATAGATAGATAGATAGATAGATAGATAGATAGATAGATAGATAGATAGATAGATAGATAGATAGATAGATAGATGATTATGTGTCTCTCTCTATATATATAAAATCAGTGTTTCCCCTAGATAACTTGTCATGGTGGGGCACTCACTTCGTCCATGGTTTTTTTTTTTCGACAGGGGTGGTGGTGGGCAGTTAGACACATAAGTGCTCAGCACTTTGGCCCACAGTGTTGTTTTAAAGTGCTTTATAAATAAAGTTGTATTATAGGGCAGCACGGTGGCGCAACTGGTAGAGCTGCTGCCTCTCAGCGAGCAGGTCCCCGGTTCAAACCCCGGTCCAGGGGCCTTTCTGGGTGGAGTTTGCATGTTCTCTCCGTGCATGTGTGGGTTTTCTCCGGGTGCTCCGGTTTCCTCCCACAGTCCAAAAACATGCATGTTAGGCTGATTGGTAACTCTAAATTGTCCCTAGGTGTGAGTGAGAGAGTGAATGGTTGTTTGTCTCATTTGTCTCTATGTGGCCCTGTGATGGACTTGCGATCCGTCCAGGGTGTACGCCCCTCGCACAGTGATTGCTGGACATGGGCACCAGCGACCCCCGTGACCCAAAATGGAATAAGCGGGTAAAGAAAATGGATGGATGGATATTGTATTGTATTGTTTGTACCGGCAGTTTCTGAGCACGGGTGAAGAGGCTACGCCTTTAGCTTTTTAGGCAGCGCGCCTGTATTGCAATATGCACTGTATATTTATTTATGTTTTGTTTTTCGGACCTCCACACACTCACTTGCAGACCCCCAAGGGCCAACCCCAGTTTGAGAACCACTGGACCCATATCGAGCTAAAAGTTGATGCTGTAGCTGAGGGTTTGACCAAAACAGCTGCAACTTCATCATTTCTCAAAATAAGATGATCTTAGTCTAAAACCCTGGCATGCATCCCCTCAAGCCACACTGGGCCTTCATCTATTTCTTTGTTTGCCTTTTCCAGTTTTCCAGTAGGACAACTCACTTCAGCGTTACGGGAGCTTAAAAAAAAGCCGAAACACTAAACATGTTATTGTTGCCCTTTAATTTGAAAGAATAGACTAAACAGAAAATGATGCAGCACGACAATTAGTTGTGTGGCTTTCTACGCCAGAGTGTGAACAGTGCACATCATTTACTCACCACTTGCAATGTCACAGAGAATACACGTTCTGATGGGCCATGACATTAGACACCATGAGTGTGTGTGTGTGTGTGTGTGTGTGTGTGTGAGCAGCTTTGACAAAGTGTAAAAATTTGAGTCCTTGCAAGTGAAAATGAAACGGTGCATCAGAGATAAAAGACAACACGCAGCTGCTCAGGTTTCTGTCTGAAGCATTTATCTGAAATGCCACGGATGTCCGGGTTAAAAACACAAACAAAATGAGGAAGAAGAGGCAGAAACTGGCTCACAGCCACTGGTTTGTGTCGCGTCACGGCTTTACAGACGTTTGACTGCTTATTTTAAGATGCAGTTTGTGTAAACAAGCTCTGAAGGATTTCTTTGCCTATTTCAAATCATCATAATTACATTTAGACGTTTAGTTCGACACAGTTCGGTTTAGTTTTATTACACTTAAACGGTTGACAAACAAAAATTATTTAAAACTAAATTGTATGCGGTTACTTTCTGACCAAGTTATTATTAGTGACCGCTACGAAAGGACAGCAATCATTCAATTAACCTGTCTGGTGTTGTTTAGTCTGCCTGTCTGTTAGCAAAATATCTCATAAACCAGAGCATATATTTTATTGCAGCTGTCAGAAAATGAACATCGGATGTTCCTCCATAACTGATTACTCTATGGGATCAACTTGATTTAAGGTGGCCTCCACAGCTAATTGACCTCGTCAAACACATAAACGGCCATAACTGACACAGTTTGACAGATGTTGAGCTCAATTTTTGACGTGTTTGTAGCTGAGAGTCATTAACAACACATACTCCAAATGCAACTCATTGTGGAAGAGCTTTGCTAAAGACGAAAGCATTAACTCTTGACGTTGTCTGTTAGCAAAATATCTCGTAAACCACTGGAGAGTTTTTAATGAAACGTTCAGAAAGCAATCACTGCATAAACATCTACAACTGATTAGCTTTAAAAGTTAATCTAATTCAATATGATCACAGCAGGCTAATGACTTCAGCAAACACAACAATGGCTATAAATCAGCTCATCTTTCAAATATTGAGATAAAATTTGACGTGCTCGTAGCTAAGAGTCACCCCCATCATATATGTTGAACACCAACAGATATCGAACCATTGTAGAAAACGTTGGCGTGCAACGCAGTGGGTTGTGATTTTTTGGAAGGAATGTTAGTTTCACACATGCCACCAGTTCGAACAGGTTCAGAGTCCAATCCACTTACACACAACTTAGTCCAGTTATAAAACTGTGCGACTGAATTTGATGAATTGCACTTTTTAAAACGTCAAACTCAGAGAGGCTTCAATTTGATGTAAACTCCCCATTAGTCAATGATGCTATGATTTTTTTAAAAACTGAACCGTCTGATAAGTTTATGGTAAAATATGCTGTTTCCTCTGAAACCAAACCACTTTTTTTATTCTGTTTTGTTAAATAAATAAATACAAAAAGAAGAAGAAGAAAAACAGTGAGTCAGACTCTCACACAGCTTACTCAGTGTTTTCCTTTTACTGGAAATAAGCAGCAGCATGCAGCACTCCCTCATCTGAATCTAATCAATTTGCTTGGGAGCTATGTTGCGTTCATTGACACAGGTGAGTGGATAGGTGTAGTTGCGCACGCAGGTATCGCAGGAGCGCCGTGAACGCAGCAGGACGGGCAGGAAGCAGCGTGGGCAGCCTCCCCGTGTCACCGCCTGCGTCACACCAGACGCCAGGAGGGAGTTTTCCACTGACGCTTCTCGTCAGTCTGCTACAGACAAGAGAAGAGCTCCGTGCTGAGCGCACGCACTCTCCCTCACACACACACGCACGGGCAGACAATAGCACCGAAAGCTGGGGTTCTATACACCAGGATAAACGCTGCGTTTTATTTATTTTATTTTTTTCCCCTTTTGTGCCATTTTGGATTACTTCCACTCGAGCTCTTTTTTTTTATCCCTAATGCTGATCGGACACTTGGACTGGTGAGTGTTGGACACCCAGAACCGGGACTTGGCTGTTCGGATCGCCGTGTTTTTATAGGTTCACCTCAGCCGAAGGGGAGAGCGAAGTAGTTTAAATGTTTCTGTTCGCGTGTCGGACTCGTTTAAACCCCCTGCGGTGCGTGAAACTGAGTGACGAGTTAATTTGGGGCTTTTTTTGCTGAGATTCTGTCGGAACGCTTAAGTTGGCTGATATGATTGTAGCTTCAAGTCCTTACCTTCACGATGGAAGAAAAAACTGCCAGCTATTCATTTGTTATTATGAATATGGTTATTATTGATTGCTGCGTAATTTGTGTAAATGGAAACTTGAGTGGTCTCACGCGCGGTGTTGTGTGGTCGTGGCTGTATTTGTGTGAACTCTTTGATGAGCTCTGTGTGAGCCGGAGTTGTTCGCCTTCTTGTCTTGATTTCAGCGGTGCTGGTGCGCCTCTTGTAACTCCTGGAGGCACTACAGCCGCGCGCACAGCTGACAGGGCTGCTGTCATTAGAACGCATTAATCACGAGGAATGATTGGTTGCCGGGGGGGGGGACAGCAGCTTGCTCACTCCCCCTACTTCCAAAAAAAAAAAAGGGTCATGTTAATTTGATAAGTGATTTCTTATTGATTGTAAATATGTTTGGATGGATTTTACGCATATTTTACGCATGGTGACTGTAAGAGAGCGCTGCCCCTTAAAAAAATAATAAATTAAAAATTGTGTAAGCAAACAGCATTTCTCCTCATTATCACTCATTTCTGATGGTAAACTTTGCTGATTTGGTTTTCCCTCCCCATCCAAAAAAATAAATAATAAAAAAAGTCAGTGCGCGCTCCGTATTTCTTTCTTTTATTGTTATTTTCCGCGCATGAACGGTGGTTTTAATTTTTTTTTCTTCTTCTACTTGTCAGTGGTTCTTTTATTATTTCTCACAGCTGCTTCAACCGTCTCTAGCGCGACCTCATCCGGATAATTTTTGGAATCATGTTTTCTTGAACCAGAGCTGAATGATCCTTTGTTTACAGAGAGGCCATGCATTCTCCTGTTATTTAAAAAAACACGTCCAATAACTCCTTTTTATACCCATAAAAATGTATTTAATTCCTGAACCTGACCCGTCTGCTTCATTTAAATCACCTCTTTGGGATATTTGAAGGATTTCCCCCCCATAACAAACATCATCCCTCTAACTTCCTCATGTCCGTCATGTGATCTAGTCTTCAGTTAACCTTGCGGTGCTTGCAGCTGTCACAAAGCCGAGATAATCTGGATGGCCACTTCCTGTGCAGTGCTGTTTTTTTTTTTTTTTCTTGTTTCACAACCTCAGGAAGCTCATGCACACTTCTGGTATCTATCATCCCAGCTGGGAGAGGAGGCGGCAGCAGAAAGCTGGGTTCAGACAAGGTTGTCTGTGCCTGCTTCATTTCGGTCATGCAGGATGGCCCCCATCAGCTTTTGTGCCTGGAGAAGAGAGAGAGAAGAGGAGGAGGAGGAGGAAGAGAGAGCCTGCTGACAGTCTTCAACACAGCAGCAGAAAGCTCCCATCTGGCTTTGTCCTCTCCCAGCATTCCATACAGCAAGTGTCCCAGACGGGTGCACGACCCCCTGAACCCTCCTCCTCTCCCTTCCTCCACACAAACTTCCAGAGCAGATCGCCTCCAGTTGGCTGTTTTTAATTCCTGCATTTGTCCAGAACTAATGAGTTGTGTCTTTGAAACGTGGTCTTGAAGGGCATGTGAGGCCCACGTGCAGTAATAACCAGTCAGGTGCGGCTGAAGGAAAAAGGGGCTTTGCTCAAATGCCTTTAGGGGAGTAAGACTTTCCAGTGGTTAGCAGCAGAGAGCACATCTGGGTTAGATAGAGCCTGTGTTCTTCTCCCACTGTTCCAGCTGGAGTATCGCTGCCAGAGAGGAATTCCTGTGGCCTGGAGACATGACATTATTTATTTGTTTTGTACAATCCGTCCTCCTCCTTCCCACTACCTCTCTCCGTTTTTTTTTTTTTGTTTTTTTTGGACTCTGCATGTGCACAGGGTGAGAGAACAGAATGTTTCTGTGGCACAGCCATGGTGGGCCTTTCTGCGAACAACAGGCTCATAGAGGAGGAAAACAGGAGCTGTGGCTGCTCCGCTCCAGCAGGTGGCGCACTTCTGACTGACAGCTGGCTTTGAGTAATGAGCCAGAAGTGGCTGGTTTTTTTTTTATGTTACCCAGCTGTGCAGGGAGCAGATCAGCCCTCCGTCATCTCTGGAGCCTTTATCAATTACCTCAAAGGTGGAGGTGTACAATTCCTTGAAGCCTGTGTGTGTGTGACCTGCCCAGACATGACCACACACACGCATTCACACAGGACTCCCAGGCTCATCATTATCACATTTTATGAGCACTCAGCCAGTCGTTCAGACTGCGAGGTTGTCAGCGTGCCATGTAAATGCTCTCAGAGGGCCAAGATTAGCACAAGTTGTCGCCCCCCTCTCCGTTATCAGCTGCGAAGGGGCTGGACAGGCGGAGCAAGGGGGCAAAGTCAACTGTGACTTGTCCTGTCAGGCTGCAGGGCAGGAGTTTGCATGGAAACAGTTATTTTCTGTTTTTTGACCTTTGCACATTTCTACCAAAATTGCTTCTTTACGTGATTTTTGGGATGAGTTAAAGGAAGGATGTGTACGACGTTTACATCCTAATATCTACAATAATGACTGTAAATTCTGTTTCCAGATGAGGGAGTTGCATAGCTGCGTGTATCGAGATAATCTAATCCGACTGATATCAGACTTCTGATTTGTGTAGTACTTCTGGTGACAAATCTCCTCGCCAGAGATTTATCATCCCCCCAACTCTGCGGCAACTGGTTGGGGAGCACCTCGGCGGATGCGTCCTTTATCTGTCTGCCTGTGTGCGCTTGATGGAATGACAGTGATGCATAATTTAGTGAAAACATGCCACGCTGCCTCTCTGGCTCAGCTGTCCGATCGCATCCATTCTCCATTTAGAGCAGACACTTAAAAGGCTTCTCCAGGAGCTAGCTCTGGATGCTTCTGTTTTTCATCTTTGATCTGTTTTCTCCTCCCTCTGTCCTTCCACCCTTTTGCAAATGAGTCATGTCTGTTTAACCCCTCCCTTGCTCCTCCGTCTCCATCCTCTCTCTCCTCTTGGCCCTTGCTCTGTGGCTGCAGCGGCTGAGAAGCTCCAGATTGACTACAAACCATCCCCTTGCCAGGATTAACCCCTCGCCATTGTTTCTGCCGGTTGAACAGGATTAACAAATCAATGTGTCAGGTAGACTGCAGTCAGGAGACAATGACCCAGTTCTGACACCACTACCCCCCCACCCCCAATCTTTCTCTCTCCACCCCCTTCTGTCTCACTGCAGCTTTTAATTAAAAAGACTTTGCTTAGCTGGCTGTATATGTACTCCCCCGAGAATGCCTCAAAGGTTTGTTTTCCCTTTTTTTTTTTTTTTTACCAGAAAATTGGGGTAGAAATGATGGCAAGGTGCCCCCCCCACCCCCCTCACCCTCCACACACCGATATTATGTTGCAGCATTTGGAACACACATGTTGTCCGATAAGTGAGCAACAGATGCTGCATTCAGGTGCTCGCAGATTGTTTCAGTGCAAATCCCCTGCTGTGATATGAGGCATTTGGAGATTAGTTTGTGCTCAAGCACATTTGTGGATGGGGGGGGGGGGGATTTTAGCAGCATCTTTTTCTCTTTTGATCTGTAATGTAAGACGCTGGTGATCGCCACTGTTTATTGGAGGCCCGTTTTTTGCTTTGTTTGTGTTTTTGTTGGGAGCGTGAGCCGGCCTGACCTATTGCAAGGTGATTCATTTATCATGTGTGTGTGATGGAGACAACAATATCTGACTGCAGCAGTAACAATAACACTGCTGGCGCGAAGGTGTCTGCCTTTTGCCCTTGACTCGAGCATCTTTATCTTTGTCTGCTTTTGCATAATTACCTACTGCAGAAAAAACAAACTCCCACTTCATTGTTTTTTTTCTTTTTTCTTTCTTTTCTTGGAGTGCTGACCTGGTGTAACATTCGGGCAAGACGAGATGCGCATACAGGTCACACAAGGAGTGGAAGTTCCTGTAGAGTGACTGGTTGTGTCTTGCCTGGGGCACATTAAACAGCTTAAAGAGAGAGTTTACAGTAGGTTGTTGATGTGACAGCAGTCTTTTTTTCCTGACCTGAAGTAAACTTTAATGAGATTTAAATGCAAATATCTCTTAATCTAGAATTATTAATAAATTAAATAAAATAAAATCACAGCTTTTTAATCATAAGTATGACAATATGAGCTGAGAATAACCCAGATTTTAGCTGGTTTTTCCAGCTGCAGCAGCTGTAAGTAATTTTGAAGTAAAAAAAAAAAACAGTTTGGTGAAATAACCTTTCTTTGAGGTGAAGTAAAAGCCTCCGCATCATCTGAGGGAGTGTCCGTCCTGGAGCAGGGCCCGGTCGTGCCTTCCCACTCCCCTCACTTCCTTCCTCACTCCTCCCCTCCTGGTTCAGGCCAGCAGGAGGTCAGACTCTGATGATGATTGTGACTCATCCTGTTTAGCTGGCACCATCACTCTCCCCGAGTGTGAGCAGCTACATGTGCAACCCATCATAACCAAATACTTTTTCAGCAAGCCATGTTAATTTTTCACATCATGGGTTCAGGTTCTGAACTCCCTTTTTTTTTTTTTTTCTTCCAAGAATGGCTTGAGTTTTGAGTCACTCATTAACCGACTGAAATAGACATGAAACGTGTCAACTCTGACTTTTAAATCGCAGAAAAATTGCAATCTCTCTTGTCAAAGTACTTTTTTTTTGTATATATTTAAAAGAATTGACTGGTTGCTTGCTTATAGGAACTGTGAAGAATCAACAGAGTAAAATAACATGAAGAAAAAAACAAAACTCTATGCCCAAACTGGGCAATGTATGGCCCGAGGGCCAAAAGTGGCCCCTGGACAATCTCCACCTGGCCGCAAATATTCTTAATAAAAAAATTTAAAAAAAAAAAATTCACTTGCATTTGTAAAAACCAGCATATTCTAAATAAAACTTAAGGAACTTTAAATTAATTGTCTTGGGAAAAGACATAGAAAAGTTTTGGATTAAGATAGATGCTTTTTTAAGTTGACGCATTTTCAGAACTATATTTATTTTATTTATTATAATATTACATTATGTATGTGTGTGTATATAT